TAGCAACACATACACTGCCATAGCTCCACACATGCCCTCGCCCGAACCTAGCAATCCACTAGGCAGTCACGAGGGAGCCAAGTCCTGCTCGCAGGTTCTCTTAGCTTTCCTTCAGGTGAACACGTCCAGGAATCAAGTATCCGCAGCCGCCGCAGTAGTACTGCTGTACTGTGTAGTAGCAGCAGGAAATCCAGGTTGTGCCCACCCGTTGTCCAAACAAAGATTTGTGATTCCGTAAGAGAAGGAGATACCACCGCTGTCGAAGGGTCGAAGGCACTGTCTGCCAGATGTAGGCGGTGTGATAGATGGTGCCACCTATGTGTTCTTAGCCTGCCCGCCCGTGAGGGTCGTGACGAGGGCGCTGCGGCGTGTGTGTGTGTGTGTTTTGGATGTTAGCATCGACGGCGCTAACCGGCTATTCACTGGCAAGACGTCAGTCTTGTAACGGGTTAAGAAGACGAACACGACTGTCAGTCATACGGTTTTACCGACAAGCGCGGCGTGCAAGTTTGTACGACATTGTCCCGCGTTTTCCACGTTGAACAATGCGTACACAACGACACCTTTCCTCCGCCCAACCCTTCCCGTCCTCGCTTTTGGCTGCGGACACCGGGCCGGACCCAAAACAGCAAAGCCCAACTCAGAGGAGGGCGTCATTCCCCACCCTTCTGTCGTGCTCGCGAGATAGATCTGGTGCTGTTTTCAACTAAAACGATGGTTGTCGATCGCGAAATGGCGGGGCTTGTTCCGTAACTTGGAGTTGTGCGTTTTTCTGCTGGGTGGTATGCAATAGTGTTGGGTGGGTGTGTTTTGTGTTCGATATTTTTCAGTGTTGGGAAAGCAAAATGTACACAGCGCATCGCTTTTTTCTCCCAACCCTGCCCGTCTAACATGGACGCACACCAGTTAAGAACCCACGCAAACGGAAAAAAAACACATCGAAGGGTGCCATCTCCCATGACTCCTAGCTAGATCTGGTGCCCTGTCCATGCATGTCCACAACATATCACGTTCTTCTCTCAACCCTGCTCGCCTGACACGGACACACACCGGGTTCGGAACCCAAACCGCAAAATTTCGAAGGGCCTCCCGCACTGGGCGGTGTCCAACGACCGGTCGCTGCTGTTCGACCGAGAAGCCTCGGGGCTCGAGCTGCTGGATACAACGGACGGCCACCTGATGGAGGAGATCTACCGAGAGAACGGGTCCGGTTGGATCAAGATCGGTCTCGTGCGTGACCCGGTCACACGGCTGCTTTCGGCCTACCTCGACCTTGCCGACAGGTGGCGGGAGGCGCTGTCGCCGCCGAGGGGAACCGCGGATGATTCTGCCGCCGGGCAGGTGTGTGTGTGTGTGTTTTTTTTATTATTATTATTATTATTGTTAGCATCAACCGTGCTTACCGGCCGGCCAATGAAAAGACGTCAGTCTCAGCGCCGGTGCAAACCAAGAACACTTCTAAATGCCATTTACTGGGACCCCGGGAGGGGGCGTCATGGGGGAGACTACAGTAACCTATTCTGTGTGTGTATCTTTGTGGCTTTTAGTATTTGCATTGACCGCGCTAATCGGCTGACCAACTAAAAGACGTCAATCTTGTAGCGGGTGCGTGTGTGTATTTAACAACGTCGACCGCGCTAACCGGCTGACCGATGAAAACACGTCAATGTCGTGGCGGGTGTGTGTTTAATAGCGTCGACCGCGCTAACCGGCTGACCAATGAAAACACGTCGGTCTCAGCGCGCCGAAAACAGAAAAATCGCTTGTGTGTGTGTGTTCCGCTTTTTCCGTTCTGGTTTGTGGTTTTAGTGCTTGCATCAACCGCGCCAACCGGCTGACCAATGAAAATACGCCAGTCACGGTTAGATCGGCCAACGCTTCTAAAGGCATGTGTGCGCTATTGATATAGCTTTTCGAGAACTGCTCTTTTTTCTCACACTAGGGAGAACCGGAGCATACTCGAAAGTTCCATTGCCGTCTCGTCATGTTGCTGCATTTGCCTCAACTACTGCTGGAAGTTCACGGCAAATGCATAAAAGAGGTGCGTGAACGCGCCAAGACAACTCTCAACAGGAACCGCTTGCTGCCGGCCATTTACTGCACCCCACCCCCGCCGCCACGGCAGAGTTCCAACCACGATCGACGGCGGCTACGGCAATCGCCGGACAAGGGGGAGCTTACGGGCGAAGACAATGACCGACATCGCCAGCAAGGGGGAAGGAGAGACCATGCACCGCTCACCGGAAGCGAGTGGGACTTGCTCGAGACTATCGTCGACAGGCGAAGGCGGCGGTGGCGGCGACAGCGGGGACCGGGGCCCCGGCAAGGGGAGGAAAACGAGAGAATGGCCTACGAGGGTTTGCACGACACCGGAAGAGGCGGCAGCAGCGGCGGCGGAGGCGTTTTTGGTGGAGAGGGCGGCAGCGGGAGCCGCAATGAAGGAACCGACAACCAAGGGGGCGCCAACGCCAGCGGCGGGAGGGGTGCGGGCTGGCGATTACCACAAGGCGAGAGAAGAGACGGAGCAGACCAACGCGCCAAGGTTAACAACGACGATGGCCGGGAGGTGTCGCCGGAGCAGCACCCGCGACGACACCGCGAAATGGAGGAGGAAGAAGAGAGGCGTTTCTTCTGGCAGGGTCCCGGGGGTAGGGACGGCCCCGGGGCGGCAGGTGAGGACGGCGGCGACAGGTCCGCCGTTGGCGGCCGCGGTGACGGCGATGGCGTCGGCGTCCCTACCTTCGTGGAGGTTGTAGAGACCCTCGAGGCGGACGTCTGGGGCGGCCCCGTGGCGTTCCGGCCGGCGGTGAGCCTGTGCGGCCAGCGCAACTCTCCGTTCGACAGCGTCATCCCGTTCGAGAGGCTGCAGGTGTGTTTGTGTGTGTCTGTGTGTGTTTATTTGTAGCATCGAGCGCGCTTACCGGCTGACCATTGAAAGGACGTCAGTCTTGTGCGGTTAAAAACACAAAACATTTCTATCTGCCATGAACTGGAACCCCGTGAGGGGGCAGTATGGGGGAGGCTAAATGCGTGTGTGTGTATCTTGCACCCAACGCGCAAACCGGCTGACCAATGAAAAATGCGTCAATCTCAGTGCGGTTGAAACCATAACATGATTGATTCTAAAGGCCTCAATCTGGGACCCTGTGACCGCGCGTCATGGGGAGTCCACGCTACTCTCTTGATTACAGACAGATACCGTAGCAGTGTGTGTGCGTGATGCTATGTCTCTCGCTGTCTCTATTTGGAGAATGGCACAACTCCAATATATCACAATATATCACAATATATCACACGATTTCAACGGGACTACAATGGCGGGCCTGTATGTATCTCCCTGCAACCATTCAGTAGGCCTCACGGCCTCTTCTGGCTACCCCTTGCATACCAGATCGCGACGTGTGCCCTCAAGTAGAGCTACTGCGTTCAACAATCGGGTTCTCAGCGCCAACCAATCTAAGCCGAACCAATCTAAGCCGTCCTCGGAATCTTTCCCGAACGAGCACTTGGCTGGGCAACCTAAGGTTCTGGGGGGTCGCGTTGCAAGACGATGAAGTGTTACAGAACACGCTCCATTGCTTGAGAACCTCTCGTTTTGCCCAAGGCTCGTTTCTTACTCCGTCTTTGCGGGGTAACGCAACATGGGCTACGTAGTTTTTGGTGCTGAATAAATATCTCAACACCTGTCGCTGCGGTCAACTATTTTTAGGTTTGTACTGTTGGTTTTTTGTAGGTAAGGTGTGGCGCGTTCTGCTACAGTAGTTAAATTTTATTTCGCCAATTCGTTCCACAAGCAGACAGCCAACCCTCTTTGTTGTTCCCTCACTACGCAACTTCGCGAAATAACCTCCAGCCACCTTGCCGTCGCGATGACGACAACGCAGAAATGTTGCACCCCACTAACTAGTTTTTCATGAGAAAGTTCGTCCTTATACCCCTGTTTGACGGCGGAAACAAGTACCCAACCCTACGACCACAACACGCCGTGGGTGGTGCCGATGCTGCAGAAACGTTAAACCCCACCATCCAACTTCGTGAACCTTGGAACTACATACTATGATACAGAGAAGGTACATCCCACCAAACTTCGTACACCAATCCTGCAACCACATATGATGATGCAGAAACGTTACATCCCACCAACCAGCCTCGTGGACCTACCCTACAACCACAGCAAGCCTTGGTGATGATGGTGATGATGGTGATGATGATGATGCAGAAACGTTACACCCCACCATCCAACTTTCGTGAGCCAACCCTGCAACCACATACAATGATTACAGTGGGTGGCCCGATATAGTGCCGGTATGTGCAGAGAAAATTCACCGGCACTATACCGGGCACCGGCACTATTAAGAGTACAGAAAGACTTGATATTCCAGTGTGTGCGAGCCGAACACACCGGCACTATACCGGCAACCGGCACTATTCAACCGGCACTATATGGGGCCACCCACTGTACACCCCATCAACCAGCGTCGTGGACCAACCCTACAACCACAGCACGTCTTGGTGGTGATGATGATGATGATGATGATGATGATGATGATGATGATGATGATGCAGAAACGTTACACCCCTCCAACCAAACCCGACGCGTGTTGGTGGCGACCGGCTACAATGTCAGAAAACCTCTACCGAGCTAGTGAAGTCTCTCCCCGGAGACATCTGGGAGGCGTTTGGGAAGTCCGGGTGGGGCCCAGAAGGGCAATACGCCTTCATGGAGTTCGACTACGGCCGGAACGCCCGGCGGCGGCAGGGAGGGCCGGTCGGCGAGGAAGCACAACGACCAGAAGGTTCGTTCACGAAAGCACCGTCGCCTTTGCGTGGGGCGAGAGGGTGGGGTGTACTATTAGCCGTGCAGCCGTAGTCGTTAGACCATTGACCTCGAATCCCTACAAAAACCCGGGACGGAACACGCCGGGTTTTCGCCGGACCAGGCTACCGCATGACCAAACTGATCACGTACATGTGCTGGTCGCGTCCTTGTGACCATCGCCGTGGGGTGTTCGGAGTGGAGATTGCCGGTGCGAGAGGTGTTGGTGGAGCATAAGAGGCGTGTTTCTTGTGCGCGCCTCTGATGGGCATTGTGGTAGCTTCTTTTTTGTCCGCGGAGGTGGAAGACGCAAGGGCGTATTTTGGGCAACCCTGGGGTTCTCATTTGGGTTTATCAACATTTCCCACTGTTATGTGTGGTAGTAGGGTTTAGCATAGGGATTGCTTTCAATTTCCCATATGCGTCGACGCGTTCGAAACCTGAAATTCACCGTGTGCACCAAATTCCTAATGGTGATGCATCTGTAGCTTTCCTTCTCAATCTCCTCCTCAGTCACCTCCTCCTACTATTTTATTCTTACTTCTACTCCTACTCCTACTCCTACTCCTACTCCTACTCCTCCGTTTCCTCCGGGTGCGCAGGCAACGACAAGGATGAGCCCTTGCCGCCGCGCGCGCGCGATCTCTTCGACGGGGAGGACCTTTGCGCGTGGGCGGAGTACTACACCGACCTGGAGACCCTCGAGACTGTTGGCAAGATCTACGAGTTGGACTACATCTACTACCGCTGGTATCGGCTTGATTCGTGGAGGGAGAGACTGCAGGCCTGTTTGGCTGCCAAGCGTTGAGGAGACGCAGCGGTCGCCAGAGAGCGGGCATGTACTTAGTCGCTGGCTGTTTGTTTGTTGTGTGTTGTTTCTCACATTAGCTCTATACATGTAGTCCACCAAAAATGGGGAGCCCGTGGTCTCAATACAAAAATAGGGTACAAATCACTCGGAACAAGAAAACAAAATGATCGAAAGAAAAGAACAGGTATGTCACCGTTCGAGAAATGAGCCCTCGGAAACCGATCAAAATAAAACAAAAACAAAAATAAGAGCTGTGTGAGGTTTCGACCCTTTAGGGGGTGATGGGGTCAGGCTGCCGGTGTAGCGAGTACGCGTANGGGGGGGGGGGGGGGGGGGGGGGGGGGGGGGGGGGGGGGGGGGGGGGGGGGGGGGGGTTCTTGTTTTCTTCCCAAATTTGTCTTGTTTTATGTTTGCTTCCACTGGAGTCGCGTGTTTGCCGGGTCGTTGGTCGACACTACTCGATCGGACACAGCTTTTTCTTGCAGCAGCGGTACGGCAGAAAGAGCATGTCCGAAGAGCGTTCTTTTTCGTCCGTTCGCGAGGGAGCGAACCTGCGCGCGAACGCACGTACGTATGCGTACGTACGCGTCCTGCTTCGGTGTGGGTTCTTGTGCACGGCATATAGGTAAATGGTCGACAGAGCGCAAATCGTCGTGCTTGGATGGTGGGTGTGGTCCTGGAGGCGACTTGCGTTGGACAATGTGCGTCTCGATTTTGCCGGAACGTGGGTGGGGGGCACCCATAGGTGGGTGAAGGGGTTCCCGGGAAGTCGGGGAAGTTCAAGTTCGAGTGAGCACCGGACCAATAGGAAACGTGCATCGTGTTTTGTAGAGATTTGCCCTTTGGGGCGTTTGTTTAGGTGGGACGGTTGGTTTCATGGGACGGGATTGATTGTCAACAACGTTGCTGTAAGGAGAGTTCACACGTGCTGCATGAAGCTGTTCAAATCAGACAGAAAGTTGTATACACTACGAGCCCAGGGAGCTTGATGTTAGGTCTAACTCCTTCCACGCGTTGTTGGTTACTTAGCAGTGGATGTCGGATTTTAAACTTGTCTTTGTATATTTTTGTTGTTCCATGTGTTGATGATGTCAGTTGGCTTTCAGACCCTTCGGGTCCATGTAATCTGAGTACATTCAGTTAGCGTGTGGCCACGGGCATTGACCGGTCAAGTGTTTGATGAGTACGGACTGATGTGAGGTACTGGGTAGAGAGATGGGAAAGGTTGTCAAGGTGAAGACAACAACAACAACAACAACATTTGTTCTGGACGTCGGTCCTCACGCCTTTCGGTGTAATTCTGGACGCATCAACCGGGGTCACACAGGAGAAACGGCAGGCCACACAGTCAGTTGTACTCTTGCGGTGCGTGCCTTGGTCTGTATCTCTAGAAGAATTCATTCAGCCTTTCCTTTCCCTCATCAGTAGGCTTCATAAATAGGACTATGAGTTTCTTTTTCCCCTCAGTCCGGTAAGACCCGTAACTTGTAAGACGAGACTTGGAAACTCGAGCACTCCTGTGCCCGCGGATGCGTCAGTACGGACGCCAATCGCCAGCGGATGTAGGATGGGGGCAGAGCTGTCTAAGTTGTTGCACAAGAAGGCCACAGGCAGAAATCAACATCGTCCGATGTCCGGCCTTCGCTGTGTATGGACCTAGTAGTCTCGGACAACGCACACAAAGCATAGGTTGTAGCGCCCGCACTTGAGAACCTCTATTATTGTGTTGCCCGAGGCTGGGGTTCTTGTTGTATTCCTGGGGTCATGCTACGAATGGTCGCTGTATTGGTTCAGCGTAGGGGTTCTTAACCGAGCTCTCAAGTGGTGCTCAAGTGTCTATGTTCGATACGATGTTGATCATGAAACTTCTTATAATAGCTGCCATGTCTTCCAAGTGCAGGCGTTATCTGTGTTCCAATGTTCGCAAGCCCATCTTTATGTTGGAGCGATTATGCTGATTCCCAGAGCCTCGGCGGAGATCGGGCGTTCGTTGTGTCTTCGAAGCCCCCCCGCGGGCGTTTGAGGCGGGGTGTGTGAATGTTGTATAGGGTTTGATTGAACATCGATCGTTTAAAGTCTTTTAGAAATAGACGGACCTCTCCCGTGCTGCCGCGATCCTTCCCGGCGGTAGCATCGAACCCCGACCACAGATTGGCTGGGTCAGCAGCACGAGAAGCCTTGTTACTTTTTGGCACTCAATCAGCGCTCGCAGCGTTTCTGCCGGGTAGGAGCTGCTCCAATCCGTGGTCACACAGATTAATTAAGGCGTCCCTCTTTTGGAGCTTGCCTTCGATGTTTATCCCGCGAAGAGTGCAGCGCTCTCTCCCCCCAACGCGTGCTCATGCACTGCCGCCTTGGCTTTGCCGCCTTGGCTTTTTGTTTCGTGGCACAAGCAATAGGTTATCCTGTTGAGCCAGTATTCCGGATCTGGGCGAACCGGCGAGACGGGGATGACAAGGACCCGTGGCTTGCCGGCAAGTGGCAAAACGTTGCAGAGGAACGACGAGGCGTTGGGGGACTGTGTGTTGTTTCTTACCGTGCAAGTATCGGACTTCACGGAAGAAAGGCACACATCGCATTTCCCACAGACCGCCAAGCACACCAGACCCTAAACCACCCCGGTAACCGCTTCAGGGAAGGGTGCATGCTAGCTATGCATAGTGCGATAGCATCACAACCGCACCTACCTACCCCACCGCACGCCTTGGTCACTTGTTTCGCATCATCTACAGGCAAAAATAAACCACAAGACACGTTGAGTACATTCGGCGAGTAAGTGTTGTAGAGCAGAGTGCGAGACTTGGAAAACCGTGTCGTTGGTGCCCGCCCCCCCACCGCTCGTAGTGTACCCCAGAAGAACTGGAGAAGGATGAGCATGCGACTGGGTCTGGTGCAGGTGACTCGAACATGTGTGCACACGAACCAACCGAGGATGCTACTCAACATCCGCACGTCCCTCCAGCCAGAGCTCTTCGTTTTATGTGTCCTCCCCAAACCACAATCCAGACAAAATACGAAATTTGGGTACAACAACGTGATATACCCTCCCCCTCCATGGGGACATCCTATTTACGAAGAGTACAATCTCCCCAAAGTCTGTCGGCGACGACTCCCTCTCTTCGCGCACATCCCAACAAACATGCTGTCTTGTACGTACCTGATTACCTTGTGGCCTAGACTACTTCACCTACATATGTACTCCGTGTGCACTGGTACACCACGACGCTGGAACAAACCGCTGTCAAAAACCGGGCGGTTCCTATCCGCGAACCTGCCCGAAAGTCAACGGCATCTATCTCCGGCGCTTACAGGTGGCAAACGACAAGACTAGTCTCTGTGGCATTGTCGCCGAGAAAAACAAGCACCAAAAATACTTCGGTTGTTCACGCGGCTTTCCCTCGTAGGTGTTCTTTTTTCTCAAACGCGCGTCGTAGGATGCGAGGCCAACGGGCTAGCGACTACGGCATACCAGTGCGCGTTTACATGATGTACCCCCCCTCCAACAACAACAACAACAACAACAACAACAACAGCGTCAACGTTGACCATTGACCAGTACCATGCGTTTATATGATTAGTACCCCCCCTCCAACAACAACAATAACAGCGTCAACGGTCGGCGACTGAGCACCGCTGGCGACCAAAGTTAGGGTAGGAGGGCTCCGATGCCCAGCGAGTAGAAGCCCCCTCGCATGAAGTTTCGGTGTCCAGCGGTATCGAAAGTGACGTCCCACGACCCTCCTCCTCCCTTGTTCTCCTGATTGGCGCGGCGCGTTTATTCGTTTGAGCGTGACACCAGTCATCATGTATTTCAGTCAGCAAGCGGGTGTCCTCGTGGATATTCGATAGCTAGGCTCTCAATGTCACTTCCGAAGTTGCTCCCACGTCGTCAGCAGATATCGGCCGTGATGCAATGTGACCGGCTGATATTTGTCGGATGTACAAAGGATCGTGAAGAAATAGACATCTCCTCACTTTTTTCATAGTCTCGAAGGGATTGTGCCACGGTGACGATTGAATGGCACGTGCCGGAGATATTCGTCATTGTCGCACAACCGACGTTTACCGTATTGCACCGCGGGTTGAGCGATCTTGTTTTCCCAGGCGCGCATCACACCGGCGGTGGATTTTTTTTTCTCGTGCCTTAGATGCATGCACACCACACTCGCCCGATGCGCCGTTCCTTCCCATCCTCTATAATACACGGCGGCACGCCTCTTTGCACCATTTGCGCGAAACGTCGTGCATGACATCAGCTTTTGTTCGACGCTACACTCCGTCCATCATGCTCAACTTACCGCCGCATCAACCCGAAAACGACGGACGATGGGCGCCGCCACCAAATGCGCGCATTTGGCACGAATTCGACGTGCGTATGGTGTACTACTCTATGCGGACAGCAGTATCTAGTTGCGACACTAGGCGCAGTAGCCCCGCAGCAACGGGGCGTAGACAGGTCATACTCACGGTGCGGATGGTTTTTCCACGGCTCTCTAGTGTACAGATCGAGCACCCTCCTGTGCAGGCGAAAATCCGGCAAACCGCTCCATCCCGGTAGCATTGCAGGGATGCGAGCTCTATGGTCTACCGGCCACGGCATGCGTTGACACGAGTACGGCTCCGCGCCCGAGCCCGTCCCTCAAAAACCACACCTCAAACACTTTCACCCAAAGAAAACCCATTCCTCTCACGTTTCCTAACATCAAGCCATGTATGGTGGTCCATAGACGACGTGATGTCTGTCCTTTACAACACCGGATTCACGACCGCGGTTTCCCGGAACCGCGTTATTTCATCCCACCCTACCCCCTGATGGTGTTCACCCACCGACGCACCCTACGTGAAGCACGGCAATTTGACGCATATGCTCGACAGGCTGTTTGCGCAGCCTTGCCCGACCAACGCAGCCGCGTGTCGACCACATCGACTGTCAACTCTCTGCACAAGGAAGCAAGGTGTAGTCCATTTGTACCCACCTGTGCCTGAGCGTAGCTTTCGGCCGACGCCAGCACGACACGCTCGAGACGACCCTTCCCCTCCCCCATGGAAAAACGCCTCCAAGCCGTGGTTACGGAAGGTATGTCCAAGTCGTCCAGCGCAAACGCGTTCCACCGCCTGATGTCGAACAGTTTGGTTTTGGGGGAGCACAGGTTACTATCGGCAAATGAGCTCTTCTGGGATCGTCTTGTAGACATGGTAGCTGTTGCTTGATGGTGCTGCGAGGACGATTTAGGCAAGGTGGCTGAGAGAAACTGATGCCAATCTTACACATTAGTGCGGTTGCTCCACAACAAAGAAGGTTTAAAAACCGACCAAACGTGCAACGAAACTCTTGTTTGATGAAACGTTAACTTTACCTAGACAGCTCTTTTCTGCATGGCAAGCCTTTTGATTGTGGGGCAATGGGGCTAGGAGAATCCGTCTTTGGGGGGGGGGG